AGATACACTGTTTAGTCGGAGAGCTTATTTAATTAGATACGAGTTAGTCTTAAAGTGAGGATATCATGAAGCAGAAATGTTTCTCATTTACTCAGAAAGCTTAAGCCCAAAGTCTACACTGTCCAGCTGTCCACTGAAGAAAAGTCCTGTTGGGCAATCTTGACCAGATAACCAGATAATCTTAGTACTCAGTTGACATGATCATGTTATTTACGTCACAGTGCGTGCTTTGAAAGATTGTTCAAAGGTTTAGTGTAAGGCCTGTTTCAGGCCACTCTCAGGCTTCTGAAAAGACTTCTATTCTATAAATTTCTATTTACAGTATAATTCAGTATAATTTTACGTTTATGCTGTGACTGTAGGATTAAAGCAACAATATTCTGTATCTAGAAATTATTTGATAAAGTTTGTGATCCATACATTTGGTGTAAAAGTACAATATTTCTGATTTGTAATGATTTCTTGCTGCTAAAAATATGGATTTTTTTTTACAGGATCCTGTGGAAGAAGAACGAAGTGGCAGATTATGAGGCGACGACGTTCTCCATCTTCTACAACAACACGCTGTTCCTCGTGCTCGTCATCATCGCCTCTTTCTTCCTGCTGAAGAACTTCAACCCCACAGTGTAAGAACAGTTTACTGGGGTTTCCATTTATTGAATTTGCACATTTTCCTTGCGTTTATTCTTTTCCTTCTCTTTCACTATGTAGGCTTTTTGCCTACTTTGTTCTCTCTAGCATTTTTGGTTTATTTATGTTGCTCTTATAGACCAAAGTAAGAGTGTACGTCTCAAACTGTATTACAGATCCTCAGACAACATAATTGAATGGAAATTTACAGCCTTAGACTTCCCAAAAAGTGTTTTATAGCCATTTAATATTTCCATTCCAGATTTCCCTTATCGCTGTGTAGGCATGTTTGGATTAAGTCACTAAAATTTTTTTCTGTTTGTTTTTTGAAATACAGGAATTATATTCTGTCCATCAGCGCCTCCTCTGGTCTCATTGCCCTGCTGTCCACAGGATCAAAGTGAGAGCCGGCCGAGTGAGAAAGAAGAGAAATGAGGGATGAACAAGCGCGAGACTGGAGATGATTGGAGAGATGAGTTATGTGTTGGGGGGAGGCTGTGTAGTTATTGTGGGTGGCACAGGGTGGAGGAGACTTTATCATTTCATCTGTGGACTTTCATGAAATTCATGATCAGTGGACGCCGAGGGGTCGTTTCGGACCGCCGCCCTTCTCTTTTTATACCAATAAATGACAGTTAACCCAATCTAATGGCATCCGTCTTACTCATTTATTCCTGTTTTGCTGGAATTGAGTGCTTCTGAAGTGAGAAGGCGAACACAGCAAGGGTCGCTGCCATTATGCATTTTTATTTCAAGCATATAATCTAGATCTATATCCTGTATATATGTACAGAGGTCACTGTGTCCATCCAAGGAGAAAATTCATGATGTGGATGGACGCCTTGAAGCAGAGATCTGTAACAGCCTGTACAGCCAAGATATCGGTTCACCAAACAGTATAACAAACCTTTAGAAAACATTTCAACTCACTGTATAATTTATTGGGTTTTCCATCTCTCTCTCTCTCCTCTCTCTCCTCTCTCTCTCTCTCTCTCTCAAATATATACGTGTATAATGGAGAGTCATGGGAGTAATGCAAAAGCCCTATGTTTCACAAGCAGGTTAGTATCAAGGCACTCGGTACAGAAGTGAGAGAAAGTATCACTATAAAATGCACCCACACTAATGGAGAACGTTCATGGATAACTTTAGGTGCGTTCCCAAAAAAAACATCTACACTGCAGTCTTTAAAATCACCAGATGTAACACAAAAGCACTCAGTATAGAAAGATAATGTCTGTAATGACATACATAGAATTCGATATAACTGTCATAAATGAACGTTTGAATCCTCAGGCAAAGTAGAGGATAATGAAATTAAAGGAATAGTTCTGTGAAAAATCATATTTACACAATTTTCCCCTTATTCAAAGCTTTAACAGGTTGACCCACAGTGTCAGAAACTACATAAGCAAATCTAGTTGCGATTACTTAATTCAGTTACAGTTTGAGGAGCATGTGATGACTTAGGCATACCGTTTGCATGAGCTTGAGCCCAGAGAAGGCAGCAGCGTTTCTGGATCCTGTTTCTATATGGTTTCTTCTTTGTGTTTTAGAGTTTTAACTTGCCTTTATGGATACAGCGACAAACTGTTTTCACAGACAGTGGTTTTCAGAAGTGTTTCTGAGCTCATGCAGTGATTTCCACTACAGAATCATGTCTGTTTTTAATGTAGTGCTGGCTGAGGGCCCAAAGATCACGGCCATCAAATACTGGTGTTTGGCCTTGTCCCTTACATACAGAGATTTCTCCAGATTCTCTGAATCTTTTAATGATATTATGAACCGTAGATGATGAAAAGCAGTTCTTTGGTATTTTATGTTGAGAAACGTTCTTCTTGAACTGTTGCACTATTTGCTCATACAGTCTTTCACAGAGTGGTGAACCCCTCCTCATCTTTACTTCTGAAAGACTCCGCCTCTCTGAGATGCTCTTTTATACCCAATCATGTTACTGACCTGCTGTCAATCAACCACCAGGTGTAGCATTACACAACTTTACCAGCCTTTTGTTGCCCCGTCCAAACTTTTTTGGAACGTGTTGTTGGCATCAAATTCAAAATAAGCATATATTTTTCAAAATATGATTTGTTATAATTGTACTATTTTCAATGAAATGTAGGGTTTAAATAATCTGCACATCATTGCATTTTGTTTTTATTTACATTTTGCACAGCGTCCCAACTTTTTTGGAAATGGGGTTGTACCTATAGTCAGAGTGTTGGGGGCATTTTGTTGCTTAACATGGAGAAGCAGCACCTACTCACCTCCTAAGAGGAAATTGCCATCTGACTTGGGCAAAATAACCACAGCAACCTTAAAAACCTAGGCTAAAGCATACTGCCACGGCAGGCATGCCCAGTGAAGACTACATAACTGAGTTAAAATCACAGCTGAGGTGTACAAATATTAGCAATAACAACACGGCAAACTTTTTAAAAAGTTCTAGAAAATAAGAGAAACTGAAAGAATAAGGCAGAGCTTGACGGAGAGTGAAATGATATGATCAGAAGGGAACCTTCAGGAAGGCCAGATGATTTCTAGGAACTAAAAAACACAGCTTGTGTTTAAACTCTGCTAGTATTACAGTGCTACTGTTATTTAAGTGTTAAGTTCTGGATGGAAACAAAAGAGTTAAATGCTTCAAACGTCATGCAGAAAATTGGCCAATCAGGAATCGTTTTCCTCCGTGGTGTCTAAGTAGATATGTCTAAGTGAGCTCTCTTATTGGTTAGGACTTCAGAAGCTGAAGAGAAGGCCGACTGCGTTAGATTACGTATCAGCATAATTATGAAGAGACAGAGGAAACAGACGATCCCGTTTTGATTTCCAACAGGCGCGACTAATTTCGTGAGGAAAAAAGTCACTCTAGGCCAGGGGTAAGACAGTAAATGGCCTTAAACGCTGGAGTTAATCTATAACTGCCAATTCACCCTTTAACCCTGAAGAATGAGAAGCAACTTCAACCTCATAAAAAGTTGAACACTGAGAGACATTTTACAAGAATTACACTTTTGGAAAAGCTTCCTGCTGGAGATACGAGAAATTCGGCTGTAGCTGAGCTAAAGCTTAAAGCAAAGCAAAATAAGTCTGCGTTTTCATTTATTTTATAATTTTTATATCTTTTACTAGCACATTAGCACATACAGACACATATGTACAGCCAAGATGATAATATGGACATCTGCGATAACACACGACCTCGAGTGTTCTATTGCTTTATACAACAGTTAAATAAATAAAGTAATAAATTAATAAACTGGGCCGTGAACACGGCATTTAATATGTTTTAATGTTCGCAGTTCCTTCACCAAATTATAGTTCCTTAACAAGCAGCTTGTTGCTACATCAGAGTGATGAACTCCGCCCACTCGCTGCACAGCCGGCAGTTCGTTCTCCAGCTCCTTACACTAAATTCCCAAACTGTCATCACCACTGAGCAGCTTTTCAGTCGGCAGCTGTGACAGAAGAACAACTAAACAACCTGGAATCAGCCAGAAATGAACCCAACACCATTCACCAAACGTGTAGTCTGATCTTCAGAGTCTGACCAAATCAGACTGAGCCATAAAACTGCCACAATATCAAGTTTCAGCTCCGTTTTGTCATTTTTTTCCCAGATCAGTATTAATGTTGTTTTGTTCCAGCCAGTCTGTAAAGCATCTTACAGCCCATTTAGTTTGGCGAATGGTATTGGGTTCATTTCTGGCCGATTCCAGGTTGTTTAGCTGTTCTTCTGTCACAGCTGCCGACTGAAAAGCTGCTCAGTGGTGATGACAGTTTGGGAATTTAGTGTCGTCTCATCTTCAGAGTCTGACCAAATCGGCTGTCGTTCAAATGTGATCTTAAAAGTGTCCGTTTTCTGTTTGTGCACAAAGTAAGAAGTAAAAACGTTTGGACTAAGGAGAAAATTGTGTACATCTGATTCTTTGTCAGACTACCCCTTTACGGGTGAGCAGCATCTATCATGGTTAATCACTCAAAGAGAATCCACAGTTCTGTGGAATATGGCTTTTGAATAGAACGGGAGAAACACAACCCACTCGAATGAGGCAAAAACACATATGGAAGGTGTGGAATCACTTGTGATATACACCAGCTGCCAAAGTACTTCACCTGAAACTGGCTTATCAGGGACTGACCGCACAACGCAGAGATACATATGAATCCAGTCAGGCCTAATAAGCAGACAGGGACCAGGGAGCAAAAAGAGAAGGGGAACACTCTCTCTCTTACACACACACAGCAATAAATGCATTGTGCTGGTTGTTTGAGATGCACTATTTACATATTTGAATATATTTTCATTATGCTATATATTTTGAATATAATCAGGTAGGCTGAGGTTGGTTTTGCTTATATTTACATGGTGTGCCGGTTGCAAATATCCTTCGGATGCTCTTTTTCATTCCTATGCTAAGTTTCACAGCTCATAAAGCCAAATGTTGTCCTTTTGTGCCAGAAGCGCGAATGTGGCTCATTTCAATACTCTGTGATGCAATCAGTAACGCAGTCTTTAAACAGGCAAAGGCCGGCAAAACCAGCCTCTATGGATGCACATAAAGGACGCCTTTGCACCACAGAGTTCGTCTCCTCCTTAGTTTTATGGCAACAAGGCTCCTGTATGAACAGCAGAGGGCGACATGCTCCACACCTCCGGTCCCTATGACCTTCTCCAAGTCTCCAGTGGGCTCTCACGTTGGGGTCAGGACACTGCCTGGGTCAGAGGGTGTGCAGCTCTTGCTACATGACGACTGGTGATTCTTGCAGTTTGTGTTCGGTCGGTGGTTCTCATCATTGCGATGCATGGCTGCATGGTAGCGGAGTGCTGGGACACCCCAGCGGAGTTACTGGCAGGTGGGTAGGGGAGGCATGCAGACGGCTCGGCTCTCTCGGGCTCCAGTGAGAGGCCGAAGCCAGGAGGAAGAAGAGGAGGAGGAGAGACGTGTTTTGTTGAGGACGTGACCCAACTTCCCTACGAGCGGTAGTCCTTCTTACTGTAGGGCCTGTTGCCGAGTATGTGGTCGATTTCAGCCACAATGTGGGAGGTCATCTTGGGAAGGACCTGAGTGGGCAAAAAGAAGGAAAAACGGTATGATTAATGGGACATCTTGGAAATTTTGTTTGTCCCTTTGTGTCTTGTAGCTGGTAAAAGGGACATTTTGAAGTGCCCAGCTGGAACCAAGCCTACCATTCTGGAAAATTCCACTGTTTCAAATGTACACTCGCCATCCGCTTCATTAGAACCCTATTAGAACCATACCTTGTGCACTGAGAAACCTATTAGAACCCTACTTTGTGCTTCCACTCACTTAAAAACCCATTAAAGCCCTAAGTTGTGCTTCTACTCACTGAGAGACCTATTAGAACCATACCTTGTTTCACTCACTGAGAAAACTATTAGAACCCTATGTTGTGCTTCCACTCACTGATGAACCAATTAGGACCCTGATTTGTACTTCAACTCATTGAGAAACCTATTAACACCCTTATTTGTGTGTCTACTCACTGAGAAACCTTTAGAACCCTTCTTTTTGCTTCCACTCACTAAGAAACACATTAGAACCCTTCTTTGGGCCTCCACACACTGAGAAACCTATTAGAACCCTTCTTTGTGCTACCACACACTGAGAAACCTATTAGTATTCAGATTTATTATGTCATGAACTATTCAAACCCAAGGCATGAATTGAAATAGTATTTAGCTGAATACATACAAATTCATCACGAGTATTTTCTATTGGGAGATGACCACATGGTGAGCAGTTAGACCCCATTGTTTTGAAGTAAATGTGTCCCAAAGTCTGAAAATCAGTGTGTAACATCACAAACTGTCATATTTTTGCAATTAAGTCAACTTTTTCTGTTTTAATGAAAAATACTATTAATTTATGTGAGTACAACTCTTCAAATCTGTGTTTGCTAGTTATTGTAGCATACTAGCATACACAGTCATGTACTGACTAACATTTATATATGTAGATACACACATATTGTGTGTGTGATCATATTAAACACACTGTAAAACTAATACAAAGCAGGCAAAACAAGTTTAGCATTATGCCCAAAAATTAAACTACAGCCTAGAATATCTTAGCTTCATGAAATTGCCATGAAATTGGATGCACTGTGAGCAGTGTGGCTGAATTATCCACTAAAATATAAATATGAAATGAAATATGGGAACGAGGACCTAAACATTAATACTACAGTCAAACCTGGACAGCATGCACATATGTGTGCGTGCATAAGCATGAATGTGTAACGTGTGTCTGTACTGACCTGAATGGCTCCCAGGTTTTCTGTTAGCTGTTCTGGGTTGGAGGTTCCTAAGAGAACAGAACTCACTCCTTCGTTCCTCAGACACCAGGCTGGACACACAGACATGCACATGTTGTCAGCTGAATCATGTTACAGCAGAAAGAAATGGAAGAGTTCACAGCAAAGGGACTACTACACTTCTGAGGCCTGCGGTCAAACCTGCTCTTCCGCACATGAACATTAGGGGGTGCCATAGAGCTAAAGATTTCCCAGGTTGTGTGAACACTTGTGGTCCAGGAAAGAGCAAAAAGTAGAGAGATGCACACGTTCCCCGTACCCCCAAAGGAGTCGATCAGTTAAGACACGTTCAATGTACAAAATTGGCTTCTTTGGTTTTGCACTGGTGCTAAGAGGCTAATGCTAACAAGCAACAGAAGCTTATATCTCACCAATTAATACTGTGCAAACTGCATCATCATGTTCGTCCCTCATTCTGCATCCAATTGTTACATAATCTCTGCAGCACCCCCACATTTTTAGGATTGCAACTGCTAAAATAATAATAATAATATAATAATCATCATCATCATCATCATCATAATCATAATAAAATGTTCTGAACTTTAAAATGATTTGAGCATAGTAAAGACCAGTGAGTGCTTGTTTATAGTGGAGTTTGCATTTTTATATTTTATTTATATATTTTTCAGATCTGCAGTAGCCGTCAGAGGTGGACGAAGTACACAAACCATGTACTTGAGTTGAAGTAGAGATACCCAAGGTAAAATATTACTGCAGTAAAAGTAGAAGTTCCTCCCTTTAGACCTCCACTTGAGTAAAAGTACTAAAGTATTTGCCTTCAAATGTGCAAAAGTACTAAAAGATTAATTATGGCTTTAATGTCCTATTACTATTATTGTAACAAGACTCGCTTCATTAACTCATTTTAGGTGAAAATACTCCAGTGTCACTCTTGGTAAACCAGTCTTTTAATAGAATGTCATTAATTAGTGATGCTGATGTCTATTAAAATGATCATAAGCACAAAACACTGAAGGCAAACAGTTTCCATCAGGTAGAACTGAGTGGCTCTGAAATCACTTTTTACAAACAAGCAAAGTTTCAGTTTAAGATTTATTTGAACTTAGTTACAAGTTTAAGTTTAATAAAAACTTTAATCTCAGATTCACAAATAAGTTTCCTTTACTAAACTGCGTCTGTAGGTCTCTGTTCATAAACATAAACCAGCCAAAACAAATTTACTATAAAATGAAATTATATATTGTGGTCTATTTACACAAAGTTAGGTTAGTTCATCATTTATGTTGAATAGACTCTCCCAAAATTTTACGCTGCTGCACTGATGTTGAACCGTGTGCTGCACTGGGTCGGTATGACCAACAGGTCAAAACAAGCTCAAAACAAAGTGCGCGCTGTGCCCTGATTGGTGTTCTTGCTTCGCACTTCTTTCGTTTTGACATGTTGCATTTTTATACACACATAAACCAAAAGGAACGACAGATTTCTCATAATGTAGTAAAAAGTGAGATATTTGACTTTGAAATGTAGTGGAGTGAAAGTAAAAAGTCTCCCAAAATGGAAAAACTTCAGTAAAGTACAGATACATGAAAAAACTACTTAAGTACAGTAACTAATTACATTTACTTAGTTACTGTCCACCACTGGTAACCGTGTACTATTTAAGTAAACACCATGTTTTCATTACAGCAAGCTGACAACAGTTGGCTGCTCTGGGGCTCAGAACTGGAACTCTGCATAGACTTTCTGATTTTGCACCTCCCTTGATAGCAAGAGGATGGTGGACCACTGTTGGCCCGCTGATGGCAAAGCTGGCGGTCCACTGGTGTTTTGCTCAGCGTTTTCTGAGCAGCCCACCTGTTCTTATTTTTCCCTTCCTTCTTATCTTTGGTTCTACTTTGTAAATTAGTTTAGTAAATAATTGTAATAATTTTAAACACAGAGTCAGCAACAACATTTTCTATAAAATCATTTTACATAAAGACATTTATATTATTTTTTCTCTCGGGTTGTTTGTAATATTTCTCTTATTTTACAAAATAAAAGTCTGTGTGCATTTAAAATCTGTTTGAGAGGATTAAACTAGGTAGAGCTTGTTTGCAGGACAGTAATCTGGGTGGTCCGAGGGTGGACCTGCAGTGGCAAACAGTCAGTGGGGTGCCGACTTTATCTAGCCAGCAGGCCGATATATGCTCGCTAACCTGTGTGTGTTTTAGAAACAAGCCCCCAAACTATTGATAAAAACCTCATTTATCTTTCAAAAAAACATCTAATGTAATAATGAAGCTTTTATGAACTGTTGTTTCTTCCACTCGGTGTGTATTCCAGTGCTAAATCTCACTGCGTGATAATCTGTTCCAGTGTCAACAATCTGATTGGTCACCACACAGCTTATTTGCATAAAATGTATCCAGAATGAGAGAGCAGACTGATGTGCGTCAGTGGTTTGATGTGTCAGTCATACTTAAAAAACCTTCATGTGGCCCTCTGGACAACTGTAAACTGTAACTGTAGTGCCAATTCCAAAAAAGTCGGGACGCTGTGTAAAATGTAAATAAATGTAAATAAAAACAGAATTGGTCTCCTCACTTCCCAGATGTTTACAGACTGGTGTTTAAAGAAGAGGGGATGCTACACAATGGTAGACACGGCCCTGTCCCAGCTTTTCTGAGATGCGTTGCTGCCATCAAGTTCTAAATGAGTTAATATTTTTCATGAAATGGTAAAATGTCTCACTTTCAACATCTGATATGTGTTCTATGTTCTATTGTGAATGAAATACGGGTCTATGAAATTTACAAATCATTGCATTCTGTTTTTATTCACGACTGTCCACACTGTCATTTGCCAGTGATTAGATCGGATTTGTGTGTCCAGACATCACCAGCCTATCTGCATTAGCTGCTCAGGCGTCAGTAACTACGTAGCTACGCAGGTGGCGCGGATTTCAAACACAGATTTGACATCATCGTAGTTTGTCATGTTGTGAGTGACGCAAAAGACAATTTGAAATCTGATTCGAGTGGCCAGAGACTGAAACGCATCTGTAGAAACCTGACAGGAATCGCATTGAAACCACCACCAAATGTGGTTTGGATACACTCAGCAAAAATCTGATTTCATGTGGTTTATTGCTGTTCAGACTACCAAAAAACAATCTGGATTCAATCTGGATTTGCCAGAAAGTGGATTTGGGCTGGCAGTCTGAACAAGGCCTATCTCTCCACTTCTGATGTTGGTCTCGGACTTGACTGCTACACAGCCTTAGTCGTGTCCAGGTCTTGGTCTTGCCTCTAATGGCCTTGACTACAACAGCAGAGTGTTTAAAAGGGAACTTGAACTCAATGTTTATTGGCATTCACACTGCAACACGTTTATTGTAGCAGTGCTATGTACTGTATCTGCTACCTGGGTCACGATGGGCATGTCCTTGATTTTTGGCTTTAAGAATGAGCTGGTCATCTCCACAGTTAGAACTGTAATCTCTACAGGGATGGAGGCGGCCTGGCCCAGTTCAGACTCACCTACGGCCAGCTGAGGCAGAGTGCAGCCCAGCTTCTCAGCAATGTGAGCCAACTCCTTCAGCTTAGCCTGCTGCTTCCTCCCGTCCTCGCTCATGATCTTATCCTTCAGCCACTGGTACGACTGCAGCAGGGGAGGTGGGGAAGAGCGTCAGGAAGACACGAGAAGAAGACAGGGTAAGCTGGTACCACCGAAAAGCACCACAAAACTCTTATCTGCTTTTCGGAAAGTGCATGTACCTTCATCGAGGCCCTAGAGGATTCCGGGATGCCGTTTTCATACTTCCCGGTGATGATGCCACAGGCTAGAGGAGACCAGGTCATAGCACCCACACCTGCACACATATACAGCAGGTCAGTAAGAGTGATGTGAGTGAGCAGACAGCGCGAGAGAGGAGATGGGGAATGTGGCATTTGTCAGGAGACATATGAGGCATGGATGTATGAGGCTGTCAATCTGCAGACATGACACTAATATTCATCATGCCTGCCATAAAGCGCGACACAAACGCAGGAAGAAAAATGGCGGGAGAGGCAGAGAGAGGGGGGAGGGAGAGAGAAGGATGCCGAGTGTGGGTGGTGGGTGAGAGAGAGAGAGAGAGAGAGAGAGAGAGAGAGAGTTGTAGAAGACCGTCAATCAAGTGTTTACAGACTGCGGACAGAAGGCTGAATGAATTTCCAGTTTCGACACTAGGCAGATGGAGCGGACTGTATATCACAGATGGAGGAGGGTGGAGGAGGGCGCTGATGATTGACACCTGCCTATCTTGTGGTAGAGCTCAGGCAGCTGCACCTCCACTTTCTCTCTCTGGAAGAGATGATACTCGGCCTGCTCGCACACCGGCGGGATCAGGTTAAACTGCCTGGCCACAGAGTACGCTTCCTAGAGAGAGAGAGAGAGAGAGAGAGAGAGAGGAATGGATTGGGCTGTTCAACAACAGTGGCTTTTTCTATATGTTTTATATGTTCAGGAAGAAAACATACAATACAGCTCGTCTCTCAATTACTTTCTGCTAATACACCGATCAGGCATAACATTCTGACCACCTCCTTGTTTCTACGCTCATTGTCCATTTTATCAGCTCCACTTACTATATAGGTGCACTTTGTAGTTCTACAGTTACAGACTGTAGTCCATCTGTTTCTCTGCATACTTTGTTAGCCCCCTTTTACCCTGTTCTTCAGTGGTCAGGACCCCCATGGACCCTCACAGAGCAGGTACTATTTGGGTGGTGGATCATTCTCAGCACTGCAGTAACACTGACGTGGTGGTGGTGTGTTAGTGTGTGTTGTGCTGGTGTGAGTGGATCAGACTCAGCAGTGCTGCTGGAGTTTTTAAATACCTCAGTGTCACTGCTGGACTGAGAATAGTCCACCAACCAAAAATATCCAGCCAACAGCGTCCTGTGGGCAGCGTCCTGTGACCACTGATGAAGGACTAGAGGATGACCAACACAAACTGTGCAGCAGCAGATGAGCTATTGTCTCTGACCTTACATCTACAAGGTGGACTGACAAGGTAGGAGTGTCTAATAGAGTGGACAGTGAGTGGACACTGCAGTGCTGAGAATGATCCACCACCCAAATAGTACCTGCTCTGTGAGGGTCCATGGGGGTCCTGACCACTGAAGAACAGGGTAAAAGGGGGCTAACAAAGTATCAGAGAAACAGATGGACTACAGTCTGTAACTGTAGAACTACAAAGTGCACCTATATAGTAAGTGGAGCTGATAAAATGGACAATGAGTGTAGAGTTTAATGTTATGGCTGATCAGTGTATACTGATTACTGTTTTTCGTTGCAAGGGCTCATTTGTTAATTGTAATTATAACTAATAATACATTAAATGCATTGAACCTTGATGTTCTTGATCATGTCTTGTTTTTTTATTTTTGTACTCCTCTTCACATCGTGCCTAACAGCATGCAGCCTTGAGTGGCTCATTGCTTTAATTTAACTCAGCTGATTGAGTTAATCAAGCCTTCAGGAGCATCTGAATGAGAGAATCAGGTGGATGTGATTAGAGCTGTGATAAAACTCCGCAGGATAATCACCAGCAAAACAAATTAAGGATCAGTCAGTGCACCAAACTTTTGGCCTGTCTTGTTGTGCACACAATAAGCTTACAGGCTTTGAGTATAAGCCCGTAGCTTTCTCATGGCCCGTCTCCCTGGAAAAATAACACAAGCAACGGTATCATTTAAACATCGCCTGCTGGGGGCTGATGGGGGAGGCGTACGGTTGTGTGGGAGGGACACTAGTTGGCGTGACACCAGAAAGCCTGGCATTGTGATCACTGCAGCGCGAATTACGGGTCATTTCTGCCTCTGCCTCGCCAGGCCTCGCTGAAATGGCCATTTATTAACTCATGAACTAATGATGCCAGCTAAATTACAGCACTCTCCTGTCCAATTGCTGTGCCTCAGCCTGAACACACTGTCATTAGCACGTACAGCATGAGCGTATACTGAGAATACAGTAGGAGAGTTGCTAAAAACATCAGCTCAATACCAGGCCTGCCAAAGGGCATGCTGGTGCCCTCTTATGTTCCCTTCAAAACAACTTCATTTAGCTCTTTAGAGGAAGATAACAGTTTGTCCTCCTCTCAGTCGCGGACAAGTGAACAACAATCTGCTGAGCCTTTAGCTGGAAATCGAAAAAGCAGTTTGGGGTGTTTTGTGAGCGTGCTGTGGGACGCCTCAATGCCCCATTAGATGTGGCCACTGCTGCTGTCCTCCGCTGCAGGCATTATTCTGGGGAAAGCAGGACGGTATTAAGGTTTGCCACTATCTCTACTGGAACACCTTCCGGCTAATCCAGATAATGTACAGCTTCGTTCTTCATTCGGGGTACTCAAGTGAATTAAAGTGAACGGAAGAAAGGGGGTTGTGAGATTGTTACGGCTCACCATAATTTCCATGGCTGTCCATCGCGACGTCCCCCAGTACATGGCCATTCCCTGGTTGATCACGTAGGTCATCGCCCTCACGATCTCTAGAAACAAGACAACCAATGTACTTCAGTTCAACGTGCCGCATTATCGGAAACCCCTGCCTTGTAGCTCTACCTAGTGTTTCTGGTCTTGGCTGAAGGTGAAAACAAGGGAAGCAAACAAAACGAGTTTCCAAAGCTTTAGTTAATAAAATGATTAAATGATATGGAAAAAAGGGGAGTTAAGGCCTCATAGACCACCAAAAATATCACCATTAGATAAACATAACTTAAAACTTTCATCTTTGACAGCTTCAGATCTGAGGTGTTTCTGTCCATCCTTCCACTGGAAGAACTCAACGCTATGGGTCTGAAAGGGTGTGAAGCTGTTGAGAATAAGGAAATGAACAGAAATAAAACTTCAAAATAAGAAGAATAAGAAGAAAAATAGAACTCAAATCAAAAACGGACAACATGTTTGGGGTTATTAGATTGTGAAAAGCAGAAAATGCAACCAGCTTCTAAGACTGAACTTTAAAGGTGTGGAAAAAATATTTCTTTCAATAACCGATCTCCAGAAAAGAATGGAAGCTGTCATAAACGTGAAAAATATTTGATATTGTATGTAGTCATTGAGGTAATGAATACCTTAACACTTAAAACTTTGGCTGGAATTTAGACTAACTTTTTCATGGCACTACATATACACTGGTCAGGCATAACATTATGACCACCTCCTTGTTACTTTGTTAGCCTCCTTTTACCCTGTTCTTCAGTGGTCAGGACCCCCATGGACCCTCACAGAGCAGGTACTATTTGGGTGGTGGATCATTCTCAGCACTGCAGTAACCCTGACGTGGTGGTGGTGTGTTAGTGTGTGTTGCGCTGGTGTGAGTGGATCAGACACAGCAGTGCTGCTAGAGTTTTTTCACCTCAGTGTCACTGCTGGACTGAGAATAGTCCACCAACCAAAAATGGGCAGCGTCCTGTGACCACTGATGAAGGACTAGAGGATGACCAACACAAACTGTGCAGCAGCAGATGAGCTATCGTCTCTGACTTTATATCTACAAGGTGGACTGACAAGGTAGGAGTGTCTAATAGAGTGGACAGTGAGTGGACACAGTGTTTAAAAACTCCAGCAGCACTGCTGTGTCTGATCCACTTGCACCAGCGCAACACACACTAACACACCACCACCACATCAGTGTTACTGCAGTGCTGAGAATGATCCACCACCCAAATAGTACCTGCTCTGTGAGGGTCCATGGGGGTCCTGACCACTGAAGAACAGGGTAAAAGGGGGCTAACAAAGTATGCAGAGAAACAGATGGACTACAGTCTGTAACTGTAGAACTACAAAGTGCACCTATATAGTAAGTGGATTTCAGTGCAGGTAGGTAGGTGTTTCTAACACAACGGACGGTGCATGTATATGCATGAGCTCCACCCACCTTCTCTGAAAGTTTTCTGTCACTTATTGAACCATGAGTTGGTCAACAAATGCAAAAACACATTAATAGTGATAGGCACAATAGATGAATCACATACAAAGCAATCTCTTTGGTCTCTCGAGAGAAGGAGAAGGAGAAAGATGAAAGAGAATGCAATGGTGTAAGAAAAAGATTTCTGAGCTGGCCCTGGGACAAAAAGCAGTTATGAAATCTTGTATATCTGACTCTAGAGAGATTGAACATATTTTGATAAACTTAACGGTCATTCCCTGGTGTAGCAGGCAGGGAAGGCAAACACCTGTGTTGACTCTCGTGTGAATGTAGCCACTGCAGTATTACACAGCACTTCAATGCTCTCAGAGGTATATATATGTGAGTGTGAGTGTGTAGAGGGGTGTTAGGGCAATGCAGAGTCCTATAGCTTTGTAACGATTGCGGGACGAGTTCTAAGGGGAGCTTTAATATGCGTCACACACACGCACACACACTGTAGAGTCAGGACTGCAGCTCCTGGACAATCGATGCAGCACAAAAACCACCGCACTGCTTCCTGCCTGTGCATACCAGAGAGATAAATGGGGGCATGGGGGGGGATAAAATGAGAAAAAAGGAGAGAGATGCAGAAAAAGAGATGCATAATGGGAGAAATGCTCTTTTGCCCTAAGTTACCCTTGCAGGACTTTGAGGGAATAGTGCGCTTGTGCTTTTAGGGCTGATTGCCCTAAAAAGGTTTTTCATATAGCATTCATTTAATAACATTTTTTTTTCCCATAGGAAATTAATGGCAAAATGTTGAGCTCAAATCTAACTGCAACAAATGATGTCACAAAAGGCATCTCTCAGACTGCCCCTCATAGATGTTACAGACTCACAGACATACTAGCACACATATACAATGGCCTAGCAACACTTTTGCAACCACCTGGGATGCCATAGCAATGGACTAGCAACACCTTGGCAATTGCCGGGGAACACTATGGCAATGGCCTAGCAACACCTTAGCAATCACTGGGGATACTATAACAATCGCCTAGTAACACCTCAGCGATCACCAGGGATACTTTAGTAATGGCCTAGCAACGCATTTGCAACCACCTGGGATACCATAGCAAAGTCCAAGCAGCACCTTAGCAACCACCTGAGATACCACAGCAAAGGCCTAGCAACACTTTAGCAACCACCTGGGATACCACAGCTAAGGCCTAGCAACACCTTAGCAATCACTGGGGATACTATGGCAATGGCCAAGCAACACCTTAGCACCCACTTGGGATACCACAGCAAAGGCCTAGCAACACTTTAGCAACCACCTGGGATACCACAGCAATGGCCAAGCAACACCTTAGCAACCACCTGGGATACTATAGCAGAGGTCTCACAACACCTTAGCAATCGCTGGGGATACTATAGCAAAGTCCTAGCAACACCTTAGCAACCACCTGGGATACCACAGCAATGGCCAAGCAACACCTTAGCAAACCACCTGGGATACTATAGCAAAGGCCTAGCAACACCTTAGCAATCGCTGGGGATACTATAGCAAAGTCCTAGCAACACCTTAGCAACCACCTGGGATACTATAGCAGAGGTCTCACAACACCTTAGCAATCGCTGGGGATACTATAGCAAAGTCCTAGCAACGCCTTAGCAACCACCCGGGATACCACAGCAATTATCTAGCAACACCTTAGCAGTCACTGGGGATACTATAGCAACTCTGTCAAGCCAACTTTAAGTTTATGCATAAATATTCCCCTTCTTGTTCACCTAGTAACACTTTATTTGGAGACTCCCTACATGGGGACATCATGACCTATGAATAAAAATTAATAATGCAATGTAAAATACTGTTTTTAAAAAGAAATGCAAGTATTTAAGTTCTATTACTCGACAGTGATGCTTCATAACAGGTATCTAGGTTTGAAGGCTATTATGTCAATACAACATTACTGACTTCATAAGACATCTTATGTTACCTTAAGAAAACTTACATAAGCTGTTTTTCAAGTGTTGCTTTATAAATAAGTTATACGATGCGTATGTGCTATGAAGTTCCCTATGCAGGTACCCTTTAAATAAAGTGCTACCATGAATCTTTTCAAAATGAAAATTTGTATTTTTTAGCACTTTACCTTCCACTGTTTCACTGCATAAGAGCATCTACTAAATGACTAAATGTCAGAATAAAAAAGAGGGACTGATACAATCTAACAGATCCATCCATCCATGACTAGATCCAGCTAAGACCCTCCTCATGGTGAAAAGCCTTAGGCTGCTCCTCTGATCCTGAAATAAGAATCTGTATCCAGAAGAGAACCTAATGAGCTTTGAAAGGCAACCTGGCATTTTAGACGCATTAGCAACGGCGAGCACATCATATGTCACTAATAGCCTCTCTAATGATGAAGAACAGCGTGACACTCCGATCAGTTAACACAAGTGAAACATTAATGAGCCAATTAAGCTCAAGCGCCGTTGCTTGCTTTTGCAGTTCTGCAGAGAGCGCTCCCCAAACTCCACTCAGATCAGACACATCAGTAATTAAACATATCAGATCACATATTTTAGTGAATAAGTAACAGATAAACATCTCAATTCTGACAAGACGACTGATTCAAGAACAAAAGAAGCAAGGATAGGCCTGAATATTGGGTTCGGATATAACCTGCAATTGCAGTACTGATATACGGTATGACCGCCTGCTTAATATGCTGTTGATCCTTCATGTGTCGCCAAAGCAGCTCCGACCTGCTGAGGCACAGACTCTGCAAGACCTCTGAAGGGGCCCTGCAGTGTCTGACACCAAGACATTAGCAGTAGGTCCCATAGCAGCTGTCCTGTAAGTTGTGAGATGGAGCCGCTGTGGATCAGACTTGTTGCTCGGCACATCCCACAGATGCTTGATTGGATTGACATCTGGGGAACCTGGAGACCAGGGCAACGTTTTGAAATAGAGGTCTGCACTACTTCGAATTCCTGCTGGACCTGCAGGACCCGCCACAGTATCTTGTGGTGTGGGACTAATTTTCAGTTTTGTGCACGGGAGCGGGCGGAAAACCAGCCCACTGCAGACGGGAGCGGGACAAAGCAAGCATGAAGAGAATTCCTGTGAATATTGAATAGCCTAAATAAAGTATAACAGTCACAAAATCATATATATAAACAATATAAAATGATAACAATAAAACAATTAAAACTCAAAATTAAGTCACTCTAAACAGTTGTGAAGCAACCCATCACGTGAACAACACGCAAATTCTTGTAGCTTCCAGTGGTGTTGGAGCCTATAGTCCGACAGCCACAGCTGCCCAGCAAAACACCAGTGAACCTGGTGACCATGACTACCATGTTATGTCAGCAGAGGATAATGTATTTGAGAACAGACTGTGTCAGATATTGGATGTCAGTTGCAGGGCAGGAGCGGGACAAATGATTCCGATTTTCTGCGGGAGTGGGCAGGAGCAGGATGAAATTCGGGGGCGGGACTGATAATGCACCTCTACTTTGAACTCTATTTCTGAACAACGTGTGCAGTGTGGCAGAGTGCATTATCCTGGTGAAAGAGGCCACCGCCATCAGGCAATACCACTGTCATGAAGGGATGTTCCT